CAGTGACGATAAGAAAAATATAAGCTGTACGGTCACAGTCTTTGAAAATTTCCAACGAAAAACTTGTAAGTAGGAAGAAATTCTCAACCCTTTAGGAAAAAAATAAAAAAAAATTCTATGATAAAAAACTGTGAAATAGTAGAATGGAAGGGAAATTTACGAAGCAGTCTGTATTTCATCCCTTAGCTGTAGACGAAGACCGAGCAATGCACGCGAGTGGGAGCGGGAACTCTGCCGATATCACGATCTCTCGTGTAAAGTGAAAAATATAAGGCGCAAAAGTCAGCGAATTATATGTTTCACTCTACACGAGAAACTGACACATCGACAAGCTCCAACGGCTCATCCTCTCAGGCTCAAATGATTGTTTCTGCCAGCAGCAAAGACGTAGAGCCCAATGGCTTCCTTTTTTCCGAGACTGACTGAAGACAAAACTGAAGGCTGTTGACTCCCGAACTTACTAAGAGTGGCACTACTCACCGAAATGAATCAGCGCATCGTAAGATTAATGGAAAAACATAACTGTATTAAATCTGGCAACTAAATATGGGCAGTACGTATTGATATATAGCGCTGTTCTCATGTCAAAGATTGAAGGTTTAAACTTGCCAGCGGATAAGCAGTTTTTCTACGAAATATTCATAAGTTTCGATGGTAAACTGCTACTAGTTCATTTCATGAAGTCAAAATCACTATTAGCTAGCACTTAAGATCGCTCGAAAAAGGCAACCATCGACAGTCTTGTCAACTGATCGTTTCGCACTTTCAAATTACTTCCCGAACGCCTTCGTCTCTCTCAGCAAGTAAAATATGAAAGTAGAAACTAAGTAAAATGTCTGTTCTCAAAATGCAACGAAACCGCATGCATAAGGTTAGGGACGACAGATGAGGTATGTTCGATTGAGAAATTCATAAAAAACATACATTCGGTTCGACTTCCTTGAGCCAACAATTCGCTGTATCATCATAATCCAGTTTGCATGCCATCGCAAGATCGCGATGCGCGTCCAGGAAATTGCCCAAAAGCCTGTCAAATCAATCCAGCTTAGATGAAACAAAACGAACAAACAAAACAAAAAGTTTCTAACATAAGGATGCAAAACTT